AGCGAAGCTTGTGTGAGATTTGACCCCGGACCACACACACGTTGAGCAGTTCCACCTCCTTTAATAGCTGTTATCACATCAAAAATAACGAAAAATTTAATTTACTGAAAAAACTACAATACATACAAATTTATAATACAAATATATACTTTACAGCCTGTATAAGTCAAGGCAAAGCAGCAAGCGGAAGCAGTGCTCAAGGAAAAAAGTATTATAATTATCTGACCAGCGTCAATGTGACTATGCTCGGAGACAAAACGACAAGCAACTAAACAATAACCCTGCATGAAAGCTCTTCAAGCTCCAATCTAACTAGGGAAGGTCGCCTGCTCAAATTGGTTATTTGTAATGAGACCTGAATCGCCGGACGTGTTTTTGGACGCTGATCTCGAATTGAACTCTTCAGGCAAGCTTAGGTGAGCACTCACGTAGTAGTGACGCTAAAACCACTTCTTGCCATATTCCTGCACGAAGCAAAAAAATTAAGTCCAGCAAGGATCCGATCCCATGACCTGTTGCGTGGTAAACGCGGAGGGAAAAGCTCCATAACTCCGTTCAGAAAATCGTTCTGCAAATTTTGAAGGCAGATTTAAGATCAGCGTCCAAAACCACGTTAGTGATCTATGTCTCATCGACAAATGGCCACTTCAACTGGCGACCTCCCCTACTAAGAAGATTCAAATTCAACAGATCAATATCTTGTCGCGGGGCTTACTTCTTTTAATAAATTACAACCTAAGTAAATCGTGCCTAAACATATCACAAGTAAGATATTCTGCTTGAGACCAGAGAACTACATCTTGTCTTGTAAGACAGCTCAATCTCGACAATATGAAAACTAATTTTGAATTCCTTCAATATTTAGAATCATATAGGTTATGAAACTGAATATTCCTACCAGCTCTAAATTCTACCAGTTCGTTCTAAACTTGGCTTCTGATCCACAAGACGAAGCAGCTCACAGAGCGCTCTCGCGACACCCTTATCTAGTGGATCTAACAAGGCCCTTTGCAAAGCTTTCGGAATCGTTGTGCGATGATCGAAAATCTACAATGCAAAAAGAATCAATAACATTCCTATAAAAAGAAGGAACCGAGAAACAAAAGAAAACCACGCACTTGCAGTTTTCTCAATACTTCATCGATGACAGGCGGATTCCATCGAAATCGGTCGATAAACCTGATTTTCGGATCTACTGCCCATTTCTCGCAAAGATATCGTCGCTTGTCTGTCTTCACAGGGTTCTCAACCGGGAGTGGAGAGTCCTGGAACAACACACCCTTCAGTAGAAGAACTACAACAGAGGGGAGTGTAAAGGGATAGAGAATAAGCCTGTAGACGTTGCTTCATCCTTTTCGTCTTTCCTGGCTTGGTTGAGTAGGCCAAAGCCCGGCAACAAGGATCACACGCCCTTGAGAAAAGTTGAAGAAACATACCGGGGTAATCGTATGGGAGCAGTCATCCCCACCACTGCACATTAATTGTTGGTGCGCACTTCTTTCTACGACGGAAAAGAAGGGGAGGGGTGACTAGACGCACTGCTCGGCTTGAAGGGCGCATTTCGCATTTTTGCCACTTAGTTCTGTTAGTTCATGTGAGGCTGTGAAATGGTGCGAGTAGGCCGCCTTAGTACTGGAATTCACAGAACCTCACAAGGAAGCGGGGGGGGGGAGGGATGGAGGGGCTCCATAATCTTAGCTGAGTATCGTCTGCTTCCCATACCGCCAAGCTGGCCACGGCAAGTGGTAGACCAGACCCCAACCAGCTTGGACTCCCTTACTAAAGAAACGTCATATAAGCGGAATAGCGCTCGCGCCAGAGTCGCCTTTTAAGTAATGCATACTCTATAGCCAGTGCAGCCCTTCCTTACACTCACTGAGCCTCAAAAGGCACAGTATGACCACGGATGTATGGCAACTACCTCAGTCAAAAAACCCGGACAAAAAAAAGCAGGACGAAGATAAGGCACTCACCGAAACATTCATGTAGCTTTTCAGCAACTCGGGCAGAAAACTGACTTGGGCATTGAAGTCTGTCTGAACGCAGACAGCGTCGAGGAAGTCACACACAAACGTCGAGTGCACCTGAAGTACAGACCTCAGTTACAATTCCATCCGAGAAAAACGCGTGTATCCAAGGCACGTCGATGCAGGGGGACCCTCAGCGGGGTCATATTTTGTCGCTGGAGGGGACTGTCGAATTTGGCGCGGAATATTTTCGGCGATAGTTGATGTATCCTCTTTCATGCGCGTTATTCAGTACGTTAAGAGACCCTCATGGGAGAAGAGAGTTGATTTGTTCGTCGCCTCCCCCCGCTCTCCAGCTGGTGCAAGCTGGCGACTTTTCTCAACTTCCTGCTCCTCTCTCTCCTCCTCTTCTCTTTTCCCCAAGAACTCAGCAGGTTTTCCAGAAACTTTGAGGAAAGTGGGAAAAGTGGTAGGAAGTTGGGAAAAGTCGTTAAGGTGGTACTATAGGAGTTGAAGACACGGGAGACCGGGCGGAATGAATCTTTATTATGTACATTCAGCCTTACACAGTCTTGTATCACAATTATCCCCTTCATGCTTCCTTCTTCTTGAACATCCGCACCATTCCGGGGTGGTCATCACCTAAATCGGTGCGCCACCCTTTCCCCCTAACATCCCCCCCCCAAGTGACCGTCTAGTCACTCCACCATTTATACTACCTCTTCCATGGCACAGCAACAATCATACCTTCCCAACATCTTTATTCCGTCAGATAAAAAAAAAACACTTGTCTTATGACAACTCTTTCCACCCTCTTCCCCTGACAATAGGTAAGGTAGAGGATCGTAATCTGGGGGAGGTTGTATGTTGCAAAAATTTTCTCAGTGACAGGACGTCTTCTGCCGGTAACCGCTACCAAATTCGAAGACAAAGTCTATCCTGGTCATGTAGGCGGAGATAGGCCAACCAGTGTGCACGCTCCTCCCCCTGATCGCCTTGGAAAGTAAAGAAGCACCAAGTGACGAAGCACAATGGCCGGTCTGACTCCGCGCACACGGTCGGCGTGGACTGCGCTTTTGACCGATAAGCTACTATTTACGGAGAGGATTAACGCAACGCAATGCTAGATTGCCGGTCTGCATAATCGATACGCATTCTTTATTTGCTAGCTTTAGCGGTCGCAGTCGACTATTCAGAGTAGGCAGCGTTCAGACTTCGCGACGGCAGCGCTTCGGTCGCGCGTTCGACGCGATCGATGCGCATGCTTTCGACTGCATTGATCGCGTCGAACGCGCGACTGAAGCGCTGCCATCGCGAAGTCTGAACGCTGCCGTACGCGCTCAAGCGCAAGACGCGAATGGCTCCACACTGAGACATACCTCCGGTCGTTCATCCTCATCAAACTCTACCACATCGCATTCGTTCATCTGATCAGATACCAATATCGCTTCCAATGCCGGAAATTGAAACAACTCCAGCACACTGTGCTGCCCTCTTGATGACGTTGCTCCCTTGAATGACCTCCATAGGTTCCCATAGACTTTGTTATGAAGAGAAAAATCAAAAAGAAGAAAAAACCCAACCTCCTTGTTGGAAGCAGCCCCAATCTGTTTCAGCACATCGCCAATCAGGTAGTCTAGACTGGTCGAAATCGAGGCATTCTGTCGCATCACGGTATTACGATTTTGCTGGAAAAAAAGGGATTTTCAGCGGTTATATCGACCACATTATATTTTGGCCCCTCGAACATATGTAATTATGATTTCCACCTTGTCCTTGAATTCAGAGAACTGTCAAGGTCAACCAGCTTGGTATCCACTAGGGTTTTCCTAGCATGCGCCATGCGTCCGAATTACATCGCCTGACATTGGATCCCCACGCCACGCGCGTGGCAGCGGCGCCAATTTTGCAAATGAACAACAACCAAAGGAGAAAGTCACCTGGACTCGACAGACTGTTGCCATATTTTCAGCGCTCACATTCGGCACATCTACCGGATTGTTTGTTGCTGTCCGCTTTGCGGTATGCGGTCCCAAACGGATTATCAGCTTCTGCCGCAAGGCTACTCCTAAACCATTAGTCAATTTAGAAACTTTTTCACAGTGAGATCTTGGAAAAAATTCTGTGAAGCTCACCGATCACATCGTCGTCCTTGTCGATGTAAGAAAATTTCGCCTCTGGTGTGAAAACGATTCCTGGATGTCGTAAGTGAAATAGAGCCCAGCTAGAACATACCCGATTAAAAAAATAGGAAAATATGTCATTCCTCCCTAAGCAGATAAATAGACTTGGGATGCGCCATGCTCCCATATTCCATTCAGAGTCAGCAAGCACTTGAAGGAATGCGGGGCAATGAAAGACTGCTCGATCTGTCTCGTTTCTGGCAGTGGGCTAAGACACAGATGGCGTTGCTGAGAATAGGAAACCAAATGTGTCTCCCTCATTACTGACGTTTTCCTCTACATAGCAACCGAAGAGAAGAGCCACACCGATAAAGAATGGCTCAACTATTCAGTGAATTGTGGAAGAAAGTTCGATCACTACCTGTTCTTTCAGGACAGTCCACGGGAGGACGAAACAGGAAACAGTTGAAACATATCGCTAACCACTACCCAACTTGTTCGAAGATTCGTGCAAAAGTTACTTGAAGGACCTAGCTATCAAATTCCCCCAAGAATAAGGAATGTTCTAATCCACTCGTATCAGGGCTCGTATCGAACAGCAGCTGACTTCAAAAGTCATTCTGTACGACGAATTTTCCATCAGAGACTTTTTCCGGTCTTACTTCAGCTCAGTCTCCAAGGATCGAAGTTAAATATTTGCTATTAAAACTGAGACATTGTGCAGGTGGTGTAGTGACACGTCTCACGCCCACAACTCGCGTGGTCCTGGATCCAATCCCGGGTGGTCCCGCCTTAGGCCAACCAAGCCTTCTACCCTCCGGGGACGGTGAATTGGTACCAGATTCGTCTGGGAGGATAAAACACTGACTTGTACATCGGCTGGCCACCGCAAGTCATTGTATAGGCCACATCGCATTCAATAAGCCACTACGATTCTGAATGGAAGTAGAATGCGTGCCGCATCCCACAAAGGGATTGATCAACGGCGAAGACTTTATCCTTTATCCTTTTACTTCAGGTCAAATGCGTGACGTGTTCATAAGTATAGGTGAATGCTGTTCCACCTCAAACTTTCCGTCATCCTGACGCGACGAAGGTAGAGACACCTGGAGGCGCTGAACAAGGGCATAGATTGGTAGTTGTATCCCATATCGAATTAGAGCACGTCGCCGCACGTTTGATTCCCCCAGCGAGGGGAGATGGAAAAGCATGTTGCTGGAGGAAGGGAGAAGGTAGGGGTTCCGTATTTACGTTTTGCCTCTGTGAAAATAAGTCGGTGTTGACTCCTCTTAGTAGTTCTGTTTCATGTGTGCTCTATACCCTTCCCCCAAAAATTTTGAGGGAGGAACGGTTGTACGCAAAATACTTCCTCAGCGATAGGACCAGCCCTGCATCGAATAAAGGCCAGGGCAACCTGACCCTGCACCCTCGGGGTCGATCAAATTGAAGTGGAATGTTTATGAACACGCAATTGCTTTACATCGTCCATTGTATAAGGCTAGGCAACCGCGATTCCGGATTCTATGTCGAATGCATGGGGCATTCCGAGAAATCAACAAGCCTCAGTAACATGATTTCTTTTCCTTTTATGTTAACCTCACCTGTGTGCATTCATTTCTCCATGCATACATGCCAGTGACAGACGACCAGCTTCTAAACCTACAAATCCGCCCACAACTGTTTCACCGTGTTTAGGTATTGGCAGTATCTTCTGCTTGAATTGAATCTGAGTGATTGTATCCAATACCTGAACGTATAAAAATTCTATAAAACCTACAAAACACTATGTACGGTATGAAAAGCACAGCGAACACAGACCTTATGGCATGGACAAGACAATCGAAATGTATGGCGTTATCGCGCGCGGTGTATGGTGCGGCAATGCGCGAAAAATTCTCGATTGCATCAGTTTGTCGACTGAAGCAGCAAAACCCAAGAATGCAAGCGGAGACATTATTCCAAAGCAAGCGATACAGAGTTTCGCCGTATCATTGACAAAATCAAAACAGCCAGGCAAGACAGCTCGTCCGTCGGGCGCGACGTCGCTTGTCACGCCCACCACCGCGGCATATTACGATTGGGCGCGACGTCGCTTGTGCCCACCACCGCGGCATATTACGATTGTCTTGTCACATACCCCAGAGACACCCAATATATCTCCAAAGGGTATGTGACAAGACAATCGAATTTGCCGCGCTAGCGGGTGTCGCGTGCGAGGTCGCGCGCGCAAACGGCGATGTTTCTGGCGACAATAGGTACTGTATTATCACAG